AAATAATGTTTTGTGGGCTTATCTTTCCCTCTGACATTTTGATCAATTCTAACAAAATGAAGAAGAAAAAAAGCCCAATTATCTAAACAGGATGGCAACACGTGACTTCCCTCTCTTTCAGGGTCTTTGGTAAGACCCCTGAATGTGCTCAGTGATTCAATCATCTGTAGCGCAAGGATTTCAGCACAGCCGCCAAACCCCCTTCTTTAGCCACATGCAGCCAAGTGTCTTGCACGCCACCACCTGGGAGCAAGCTTTGTGTCACCGTGAGTGAGTCTAAACTGCAACACTCTGAACAGGTATGAGAAACAGCTTAGATGCTCTGCAGGAGTATGTGTGAGCAGATAAAAAGAAGATGCAGAGAGCAAGGGAAGGCAAGTGGTACCAGTCCTAGGCTGACGAGCTGCTTTTCCACTCTTCTAAACCCTGCTTTTGTGTCTGCCAGCACAGACAGGAAGAAAACGGCAATCTCTCAGTCTCCTGCCAAAAGAAAGGTACGTGTTTCCTACAGCGAGGTCTGCTGTCCTTTCTGGCTCTGTGGAGGGAAGAGACTGGCCTTGAGGAGATGTTGCAGTGAGGGGATCCCATTGCACAGCTTAGATTGTCTAGGGAGAACACAGAAAGAGAATTAAACACCCCCCCCCAAACCCAGGCCTACTGTGGGAGGGACTGGCAGTAAATCGTGTTGAAATCACAACTGTTTTAGAGCTTACATTTACATCCAAGTTTACCTCTTTTCTAGAAGCTGGGCTTCCCACCCCTCAGTACACCAGCCTGGCTCTCCCGGGACTCAGCTTCTCCTCATGTTCCCCATAGCATGAGCTTTTGTGCCCTCTCTCTTCCCTTGCACCATCCTCCATCAGAGCAGCCATAACCATTCTGCTGAAGATGAAGGGGATGACCAGAAACCTCAGACAAGCCTTGGAAGATGTCTCTGCACCCACAGACAGCCTGACACAGCTGCACATTCCCAGAGCTCAAGACCGCTTGCTGGAGATACTGACTGAGACAGGCCCTCCCTGCAGCCATAGCCAGCTTTGTCCCCATTGGTGTAGGTACAGCTGAACTCTGCTCTCATTCATACATGCCGTGCATGGCAAAATAGATAGCATTTGTTATTAGCCCACTTTGAAGCACGGGATACGAACCACTGGAGACTTTGTGCAAACTTCTATTTCTGTTCCCAGATGTTGCATCGTAGGGTACCAGCCGCATATGAAGAACCAAGAAAAGACCTACAGGGACTCCTCTGAAAGGTTAGTTTTGTATATATTTATATGCTGACAGGACGCCAAAGCCTGGTTAAAGGAAGCATTAGGTATGCAGTCTTGCGCTGAGGTCCATTTTCAGTTTTTTTATCACAGAGTGCCTTTAAATAGTGGTGCATGTTCCCAGAAGGACAGAGAATTAGTCAGGAAAGGAGGGAGGCTAGTAACAGAAGAATGAATGTCCATTTGATTAGGAGTGGAGGACTGTCAATCACAAGGACTGAAGTTAAGTTACAGAGGGAGAAGAAAACAGGTTAGACCAATACATTTAGAGCTATAATACTGGCAGAACATTACTGCTGTTTTTTGGACAAGTAACAGAATTTATTGCCTGGCTTTATCCTTCATAGACTTTGTATGTGCATTGTCATCAGCTGCATATTGAAGTAATTTATCCTATCCCAGGCTGCGGTTTCCTGGAGAAATAAAATTCGACATTTGTAAAATCGTTCTGAATGATGGAAGACATCATTGCTGACTATGTGGGTCTGAGGCACAGAGAGAATTTACAAGGTGTCTGCAAAGTGAGAACATTCAGCATTGACAAGCTCTGACTTCCAGGGCCTGTGGAGGCTGCGTTTCACTCTTGTGTAAGAATATTCAGCAAGTAGTAGAGAAATTACCCATTCGTCTACTAAAATCAAATGTCAGACCTGCAGAGGCATTGACTACAGCGTGACGTTTATCTCCTTGCTTGACTGACCTGAAAATTTTAGGGAAGCACATGCATTTTTTATTTTTCCTTCATATATTGAGTCATTTTGGTGAAGATAGTCACTGAGAAAGAGTTTTGTTAAACTGATAGAGGCAATGGCCTGCTCTGGTAGTGGAAAATCTGCTCCAAGCCTTCTTCTTTATTAGAATTAGACACTGATAAGAGAAATAAGATGAAAATGAAGTGGCAAAGAAGGTATTTTCATTGTTTGTCTTACCTGCCAATCTTTGAAAACTTTGTTAGCTACAGACCAGAAATACTATAAAGAGCGGGGCAAATTCCAATATCACATGAGGAACATATATCCATGTACCATGGAGCTGTCTGAGGGCTGAAGCAGAGTTAGAGGTTCTTTATGTGAGAGGAGTTAAGATGATCACCGCCTTCTGCTGTAAGTGATGGGGACATCTCTAAACAAATGAGTGTTCATTTCATTGGGCTTATTTACACCCAAACCCTGGCTCCTGCTGGGGTTAGGGGAATGGATATATTGAAATGTATGTGTGTGTGTGTACATGTCAGTGTGTGTAGGTTGTGTAACCATTTCCCATCCAGGGAGCATAAGAAAACAACCCATTTCTGTGGATGTGGAGGAGCAAAGAGAAGGTGCAGAGAAACCCCAGGCAATTCCAGAATGTCCTTAATAAGGGACACTGAGGAAGAAGCTAAAAGAGGGATTTGGGGTAAAGCGCTGGCTGACACGAGAAAAGATCTCATCCTTAATTCTTGTTGCATTCAGGCAAGCAGGGCCTTATATTAGTTGTGAATAAACAGGCTATGACAAACGACCCCCACTTTGACCATGGAAATCACCCATATGGCCCCACACTCTGGCCTTTTGGGATTAAGGGTGTGGAAGTGTTGAACATATGCAGCCATAGGATATGTACATGCTTTTGCGGGGTGGTGAGTGGTGGAATACAATGTCTGTTACAACTTTCAGGTGTATCGGGCACAAAAAACACCAGGCTCTGTTCAGTCAACACCAGGAGATAATTATGCAGCGAGGTGCACAATTGTTTAGGTGTCCCATACAGTTAAGGTAAGGGACACATGCCTGAGCTTTATCCCACTGTGAATAGCCCTCTCCTTTTTGTAAAATCATTTCCAGAGCAAGATGCTTCTTATAGCTTGTGTAAAGGGGGCAGGACTGGGCTCTAAAAAGACTCCCTCTCTGGCTGCAGTGCTTCAGGTATGGTTTATATTATAATTTCTCCTTGCCTGAGGGGCCTTTCCCTCCTGGCCAGTGCAGCCCTGCCAAATTTGTTCAGGATGGTAGATTTTCTGGATGAATTAGGTCAAACCAATGCCACATTTCCTCTTTGCCTGAGGCAGTTAGAATCACTGTCAACATGTTGACTAAGTTACTGGTCTGCTTTTCCAATAAAAGCTCTCCAAGCCACTCAGCTCATCACTGATGAATGAGACGCATTGGAGGACTGCAACTTATCAGTTAGCACCTAAAAACAAAAGGTCATTTCTGATTTTATTAGTACTTCTTATGAGTAGCATAATTTGATAATGGCTGGGAGGGGAAGAGGTGAAGACTTCCCTCCCCCCTCTCCCCCCAAATATTTGTTAAAAGTCTTGATTTGCACTAGCCTGGAGAATGGAGTGAGTGACAGTGCAGGGTATGGTACTGTGATGACTACAGGTTTGCATGTAGGAAGCCTGGTCACCTGCCTGGAGAAGATATGGCTGTTAGAGACAAATGGGTGTCCAGATAGTGAGGAATGGATGCTCTCAAGCATCACCCCTCTCCAATGGACAAATCAACATACACACCTTCAGAGAGGACTGTGACTGACCAATAACTCCTACAATGGGAGAAGGCTTAGAGGGTGAGGTGCCCCATGAAGCTCAATAGCATGCAGCTCCTTAATCCTTGCTGTTGCACAGAGAACTGACTTTATCTCCATACAAAGGGAGCTGAGGGTGACCTTTGTGTTAGATAAGCAGCCATAGCTGTTAATTGGACGAGGTGTAAATGTTTCTTCCTGAGCGGAACAAAAGACTGTGAATGTCTCCCTGAGATTAGCCAGACCAGCATGGGGTAAGTGTATAGGTGGCTCAGCCCAAATGAGAGTATAAACCTCAACAACTAAGAAAAGAATTTCGAAGAGAGCAACAGGTTTGAGCTGGCTTCAACTCACCTATTCCTTCCCGGTGACTGGGGACGCCCAGCGTCGTGAAGGTGAGCATGTTATAGAGACCAGTAATGGCAATCACTTTGGTATTGGGAATGAACTGCATAAGTGAATACCTGTATTGTGATTTCAGTATATCACTGAATCACTCTGCTAAATCAAAAATCCCATGTAACGTCAAATATCTTCAAAAATAAACTTTTATATTAAACATTGAACTCTCCATATGTGTGGAGTATCTAAAAGAGCCTGGTCAGAGAGCGCTGGACTCTGACAGGGACTTTAACCATGCCAATAGCTGCTTAAAGGGCAATGCTGCAGGGCACAAGTCCACTAGGGTTTTATTTTTCGCTCTGTTCTTACCTCATTTCTGTTCATATGTAAAGGCCTG